AGGGCATCCTCGACCGTTCGTCTATCTCAGGGTACCCGAAAGATGTCAGCATCCACAAGAAACCAGCGGCAGCAGGTCACAAGAAGAATCGATCCCGGGTCGAACTGGGATATCGAACCACTATACCAATTTGTTCTATCCTATCTTATCGCAGGAAAAGAACCGATCGGCGGATGTCAATCCCTTGATACCCAGGATATTACACAAGCTCTGCAGTTGGTTGCAGCCCCTGCTGTTGATGCTGCATGCTAGTTAGCAGTTCATTGTGTACCGGCCCCTTTTGCTGGCGGCCTTCCACTTCTCCAGTGCCACCTCAAAGGGGAACGTGTACTGGTCGTAAAGGTCTTGCATGAACATGCGCACGCACAGTGCCAGGTGCTCATCCAGCCGGTTGTGGGCTGGGTCCTGCAAGTATGCCATTGCTGAGAACCGCAGCTCGTCCTCCACAGACCCGGGCACCATCACAAACACCATCTTAGCCAAAGCTGAAAACTCCGTCAAGGAGCCGGCAAGACCCGGTGCATTGCTGATCCCCTGCCACAGTCGTGGGGTCGGTGTGTCGTCCAGCAGTGCACGGTAGGCGTGCTTGCTTTGCTGTGCCTCAGCCTTCACGGCTGCCTGCCGCCGCCGCTGCGGGGGGAGCATGGGCCAAAGCGCACCATGTCGTGCACCTCCCCCTTACTCACATCCACCGTAATGCACTGCGCCCATGTAAACATAGCTCCGAAGTACAGCTGCCACTTAAGGGGATGCTTGTCCTTCTTCTCAAGCCAAGCACCGTCGCTCTGGCCCTTCACAACCCGCTGCGTCTGTGGTCGGGGCGTCTTTGCGCCGCGGAGTGTGGGGTTAGGAGCAGTGTTTTTTTAAGGAATAAAGAGGCCATTTTGGCCTTTGGAAAAACGGAATGAATTGAGGCCGATCCGTACATTTTCATTCCTCCAGCCAAAAACGTCCATTGCTGCCAGATTGCTCTGTAGTGTGCAGAACTTCGTATTATCGATCATAGAATAGATATGAGGGGCCATAAGAAGGTCAAGCCCGTGAGTCAACGCGGCATAGCAGAATGTATGACCGGTCCTCACATAGCCAAACACGCAATAGGCAACGACTCGAACGTCGAACAAACACCAAAACAGCAAGATAAGCCTGGAAAGTTTCCTGATAAAGGCGTTTGGAACGGCGGTGCTGTTGTCGGTAATGCGTCGGCAATGGTGTTGCTGCCAACGGTGACCGATGACACGGGCGCCATTACCCCTGCCTTCCATGGCGGGTGTGATCAGCCTAAGCGCAAGCTGTCACCCAATCAGCTCGACAACAAGACCAGGAAGTGGCTGGACAGCAGCAGCAGCAGGGGCCGGTACATGATGAACCGGTAGAGTCCAAGTGTGCTGTGGTTTGCAGTGGCGGGTGACAGCCTGTGATTTGCTATGCGGTTGCTTGCTTTGGGCCTTTGCTTGGTCGGATTTACTTATTGCTCACAAACAGTGCCAGAACTATCTATGCATGTGCATGAAGAGTAGGCACATGAACGAAAACGCGCCAACTCAGTGCGTGCCTCTTGGTCTATGAGGGGAGTTGTAACTTATCGGGGGGGGGTGTCTGGGGCCAGCGCCCCACACTTACGGAATAAATTACGGCGACCCTAGGAACTTTGTTACTTAGGTCGGAATAAATTGAGACCCGCCCTAAATGAAAAAAATCACTGGTTAGGAGTCTTAGCTGCAGCGCCGGGGTCGCTGCTGCCATCGACCTCGACGCCCGTGTTTCCTGGCCCATCGCGACTGTTTCCATATGAAGAACGTTGACGTTTGGCCCGCTCGCTGTTCACAACCGGAATGGTGTCATTGTCGTCGGTTGGCTGCAGCATGTGTCCACATTGCCTACGACCTCTAGGCCGTCTTCATTACCGTCGCTAATAGCTTCAGTGAAGTTTAATATCTTCTTTAATGGCCCTCCACGTTTTGGGAGCTTCGGGTCCGAATATTTTGCAGCGCTTGGTCTGGTCAGAAACAGTCCGATTAGAGGGTAGGACACACTGTCGGGCAGAGCAATTCTTTTGGCTGCCCCGGTCGCACAATTCCCGTGCTTCCCTAATTCGACACCCTGAACACGCAAATTCTGACTGTCCGAATGTCCCTGCCAGGCCAATTCGACACCTTGTCAGCCTAATTCTGACTGTCGGAATGTACCACCAGGCTAATTCGTATCCCTGTCAGGCTAATTCTGACTGTCGGCACCCGGACAGGCCAATTCAGGCCCAGCACAGCCCAATTCCGAGGCTCCACAGCGCAATTCGAATACCTCCGGCGGGTCCGCCAGAACAATTCCAGATCTCGGCAGACCAATTCTTTTGTCAGGAATAAAATCCAGGCTAATTCTGCGACAGAGCTCTTCCCTAATTCCAGCCCGAATCCTACCCTCCTGTCCGATTCCTCGTTGTTGACTTTCGGGCGTGACCTTCCTAGCAGTATCCATGGCATTAATGTACCATGATATGGTTAAGATGTATGTCTCCTGTAAGATTCTAGCGGATTTGGCATAAACAGTCCATTTTTGGCTGGAGGAATGAACTTGTACGGTCGGAACATTATATATTCTTAATTTTCAGGACCGCGAACAATTTTTTATTCCGAATTCGGAATATATTCCACAAAAAAAACGCTGCTGGGTGCTTTGCTGCATGAGAGCAATCCGCTGGGGCTGGCCTTGCGGATAAATGCAACGCAACCTACCGGCCCAAGGCAATTCAGCCTGGGTGCTTCACCACCCGAGAGCATACCCCCTGGGGCTGGCCTTCCGGATCAGTGCAACGCAACCCAGGCGCTTCTCTCCCTGAGAGCATCACCCGGGTAAAGCCTACCGGCCATGGGCACTCGTTATTGGGCAGACTTCCTGAGTCTAGTTGCTACTCTTTGCGGGGTGTAGCTCCCCAGGTGTAGCTCCCCGCGGTCCGGGCACTTCAGCGGGCTCCAGCTGGGCACCTGGCAGTAACCCGCGGTAATAATAAATCACGCTGAGCTAAACCTCAAAGCAATGACCTCTCCGCCACGGCGCCTCATAGCCGGATCACCCCATTCCCCAGCAAAAGCATGTGTAGTTGCCTACCCGCTGCGGCCGGTTTCGGGACACCCCTTTCCCTCTTAGATGCAACCGGGTAGGCCTAGTTGCAGCTGGTTGCGCCTGCTTTCAGACAATGCGGGATAAGGAGCGGAGTCCGTTAATCACCACATCGTCCCCTTCTGGGTGTTTCCGTCGAGTGCCATTCTTATCGCCTTCGTCATATCCATTACTTCGTTCTCCTCCGGACCTTCTCCGGCTCCGCCGCGCACTTCATCATGCTCGGCCATCTCTTCGCTGTTACTGACGCCCGATGTGCCAGTAACGCTGTGTTCCCTGATTTCCTTCCTTAATTATTAAACTAGGTCCAAATGTATTGTATATTGTTACTTTTGACGTCCGTATTCCCCAACAAACGACGTTGGCTTGCCCACCTAAAAGGTGGTTGGCTTGCCCACCTAAAAGGTGGGCAAGAACCAACATATTGGATGAAATGGACGAGCATGCTCGGACTGAGACACAATTACTCTTTGCGCAATCCGTTTTGACTTGCGCTTGCTTGCACAGTTATCGGGCGATCTTGCGCTGTCTGAAGTTAGCGCCTTGTTCCCAGCTAATCTTTGTTACGAACTACGGTATCCGTCCCTGTCCTCTGCCCAGCTCTGGGCTGCGCCGCACTTGCCGTACCGCACTACAGGACGAGCACTTAATTATTCCGTATCTTATCCATCCGTATGAAATACTCCGACGGACTAGCGGTTTGTTGGTGAGGATTAAGGAAAGCTTAATCCCGTGACAATTTATCCAAGTGGAAAGAACCCCATAGGGACCCATACGAGACCATCGCCTGTAGGTGATTGATATTTTACTGACGGATCGATGATAGATGCCTAGCTTAAAAAAATATTCAATGCAAAACCCGAAATAACCGGCACCATACAATGTTAGTTACAAGTTACAAGTTCCGCACACAAGTGCGGGTGTGTCCGTAAAAGCCGGCCGGCCATGGACGTACAATGTACGCCAACTCAGATTTACTGATTCAGTGCTGACTATAAGCAATCAGTACTGCTTGGATAGAACTTAACATACTTTTCCTAATATAAGAAAGCAAACACCAGGGGCGTTTGGGCAAAGATGCTATGAAACCGTACGCGTCTTGCAACCGCCACGCAAAGCGATCGCCTTCGCGAGGCCAGCCGGCCCTCATCCGCTAGTGGATACACCGAACACCAATGCTGGGAGAAGTAGGTTACATAATTTTGGCATTTATCGTGCATGACTGTCCCATAAAACATACACAATCAATGCATGGACGTAAGATTGGTTAAGCTGCAATCTTACCCCTGACTAAGGATTGATTTTTTTGTTGGTGTGCATATCCAGAAATGGCTAAATAAGGGCCTCATTTCTTTTGAGTGAAAAACCCAGAATGCGTTTGTATCATGGAATAATACGTGACCGTACACCCGCTTACCTTCTTGCTAGCTTTTGCATGTCATACAAGGCCACGGCTTTTATCCTGGTGGACAGGCGGCCCTTTCCAAAACGCCAACGCGTTGGCGTACGCCTAGACAAGCCAACGCTTTCAGCTGCCAATTTGTCATGTTGATTTTCCTCGGTTTCCGTAGACCAGGCAGGTAGCTTTATCAGGTAGGTGGGCAGGTCTACGTTATGTATATGTTGTACAATAGGTCCCAGCTAGAGCTGAATCGCTGATTTCATTGCATCAATGGACAAAGTGAAACTTTAAACGACGGCGCCAGTCATAATTCGCAGTTATTGTCCTTCCTGCTGTCGCGGCAAGCGAGCTGCAAGGGCTCGGTTGCACCTTAACTCGCCATCCTCTATCGGTACAGTTGTGAAACGCGAGCGACCTCCTCCGAGTTATTACGTGCCAAAACGTTCATGAGTAGTCTAGTACGTCGCTGTAGATGACAGCTATGATGTGGCTGTGCAATTTCCTACTTCTGCTATGCCTCTCCATTGGCAGACTCGTCCTTGCAGCACAGCAAAGAGATGGCTCATCCACAGGTAGGTTTTGTGGGACGAGCTTACTTGGTCTCGTCTCCCAATAGCTCATCGCCATGCATCCGTCCAGAGTTTTTCCTTAAGTGATATATTACTTAAAAGGAAGTAATCGGGGTTTTGGCCTTTGGAGGAAAGGAATAAATGGAGGCCGACCCGTACATTTTCATTCCTCCAGCCAAAACCATCCACTGCTGCCAGATTGCTCCGTAGTTTGCAGAACTTAGTATTTGCAATCATAGAATAGATATGAAAGGCCGTAAGAATGTCACGCCCGTGAGTCAACGCGGCATACAAGCATGCATGACCGGTCCTCACATAGCCAAGCACGCACAAGGCAATGACTCACGGCGGGTGACGGCCTGTGATTTGCTATGCGGTTGCTTGCTTGGGGCCTTTGCCTGGTCGATTTTTCTTACTGCTCACAAACAGTGCCAGAACTATCTGCGCATGTGCAGGAAGAGTGCACACACGATCGAAAACGCGCCAACTCAGTGCGTGACTTTTGGTTTATGAGGGGAGTTTTAACTTACCGGGGGGGTCTGGGGGGGCCGGAGCCCCCCCAGCGCCTTACAATTAAGGAATAAATTACGACAACCCTATCAACTTTGTTACTTAGGTTGGAATGAATTGAGACCTGTCCTAAACGAAAAAAATCACTGCATCCGTCTCACCTTTTCACCACCACAATGTACAGGCTCAGTATGCGGTGGCAATGTGGAGCAGCCTACCTGGTTGCCAACTGCATTAGAGATCAATGACCCAAATAATGGGGACGAACTGCGTCTGCATCTCAAGCAATGGGTAGAGCTTTCTTCCGTTGCTGACCTGCTCGCAGCAGCAGCTGCACCTCTTGTCGACGGCGGTGAAGGTGCGTTTGTTGTGTGTGAATGGGCTTGTTTGTCCTGCTAAAGATGTAGATACACACAAAGGTCGAGGAGGTTTAGTCCAACAGTGGGCAGCAGGTCCTCTATGGCCATAAAGCCATAGCTTATAACGTCCCATGTGAACGAAATAGGATGACCCTCGTGTAGAAGCTGGTACACAGTATGGCACTTGAACAACTACAAATACGCGCAAAGCGCTTCACCAGCATTTAGAGAGGCCTTTTCAGCGGCCAGCTAATACAATTTGTATCGAGACTTCATAGATGTGTACGATTCTGAAGTCGTCAGTTTGACACTGGCCATTCACACACATGGATATCGGGTCATATGACTAATCGCACGAAAATTGTGGATGTAGTAGCTGAGGTTGTCTGGCAAGACTCTGTGCCTGAATAACCTACAGATGGTGTGGATTATACACCCACTGCCCGAGGGAAGGCGAGGGTAGGCAGAGGTTATTAACAGCAAACTCGATGCGTGGCAGATGTTCGTCCAAATCATCCTGAGTGGGTGAAATACGGTGCCTAAGTGTCTCTTCCAGTATGTGATTTATTCGCTCGGTTTGACCATCCATCTTTGGGTGGTAGGCTGTGCTCATATAGAGGTGGGTCCCTAGGAGGCGAAAAGTTTCCTTTCAAAATGGCATTGTAGGTAAAGCGCGTGTCCCGGTCAGACACAATATTCTGTGAAAGGCCGTGCTGCCTGAAAACCGTAGCCTCAAAGAGGTGGGCTAGATCTTTCACACCAACGGATGTGGTTGTAGGAACCAAAGTGCATTATTCCGTTCAGGCGGTCCACGAACACTACTATCACATCATGCCGATTGCAGGTTGGTAATAGCTGAATTACCAAATCCATTGACACATTTCCAAACGTTACCTGGAATGGGATAGGGCTGAGGCAGTCCACCTGGCTTTTGGTTTGAAGCCGTTGTTGTGCTGACATGAGGGGCAGGTACCAACATAGGCCCTCATGTCAGGATCGAACCTGGCCACCAATAATGTTTCGTGATCGCTTGTTTGGTGCGGTCAATGCCACAGTGGCCAGTGTAAGGAACATCGTGGCATTCATGGATGATGTCCTTTCACAAATCAGACACAGCTGGCACGTACATCTGGGAACCGTTATACCAGGAGCCATCTTTCCGTTTACGCCACAGCTTTGCTCCCGGGCTCTTTCTGAGCGTAAAGTCGCCATCATACCCGCTTAAGATTCGGCGCCCAATATCGCTGCCAACCAGCGATGCCATGAGCACGTTTAGCACCACATCCTGAACCTGCCTGAGGGGGTCAGCTACCTTAAGTCGTCCGGGTCAATACTCCCAATTAAAGTCGAAACGTGAGAGGTGTTCCAACCAACGAGCTTGTCGTCGAGAGAGAGAGTTTATCGGCGCTTGCTGTTCTTGCAAATAGACCAGCGGTTGGTGATCAGTGGCGAAAATGACATCCCACGCAACCTCGAGGTAACAGCGCCACTCTTCAAGTGCAAGAATACTTCCTAAACACTCTTGGTCCGTGGTCGTATAATTGTACTCAGCTCTGCTGGATTTAGAGCTTGTGTACGCGACTGGGCGATCGTTCTGTAAAAGTACATCACCCGTGCCGTGTAACGACGCATCGGACCAGACGGTGAAGGGTTTGTCCAGTTCAGGGAGTTTTAATACTGGTGCGTTTGTAAGGCAGACTTCACGCCCTCGAAGGATGCTTGGCAGTCCTTCGTCCAGTGGTTCGCACTGGTGAGTGACGCGAGTGGGGCCACGAGAGAAGAATATCCTTGGATAAATCTTCGAAAATAATTGACTAAGCCAAGGAACGAATGCAGCTTTTGCATGTCTGTCGGTATAGGCCATTCTTAAATGGTTTTGACCTTACGCTCGTCCACTTTCAGACCCTCTCGGCTGACGACGAGACCCGGAAACAATATGATAACGGGTGATCGCGTTACGTCGCGTTAAATTCGCGTTACGAGGCTTTAACGCGAGTTTAACGCGACGGTAACGCGATGTAACGCGATTTCAAGCACTGATAACGCACCGGTTCGCTTGTGTGTATGGCCGAACGCAGGTCATCTTTATTCGCATGCGAACGAGCTGAGTAAGTTTGGCTGGCAATGCGTTAGCTTAAGCAACTAACTCAAACTTTACGCGATCGTAAACGCGACCAGGTGATTTTTAACGCGAGCGTTAGCTTAGCTATAGGTGTAACGCAAACGCCTGCGAACGGCATACGCGGCTGCGAATGGCGCGAATGCGTATGCATGTGCGAATGTGGCAAATGGTATCGTGAATTTTACGCGACTCTAAACGCGACCAGTTGACTTTTAACGAGCGTATCGCCAAACGCGAGGGATTGCGAATTGCATACGCGACTGCGAATCTTGCGAATGCATGTGCGTCTGCTACTTCTGCGAGTGCATTCGCAGTATTTCGCAAACCTAGGTGCAACCATTTCAATTTAACGCGAGTGACTGCAATTTGCATGCGGGAATGCGAACTGTACCGCCAACCGTGCAATACAAAGCTTTACAATATCAGTACAAGAACTGTACAAAGTGCAAAGTGCACCGCTGTTGCACATGAACTGTGAACCACAACACTTACAGTTTCCCTCATACATGTGAGCTATCCCTAAATAACAGGGACGAATGAATAGCAAATCCTAACATGACCTATGCAACTCAGTCAGCAACTCTTACTATGTAACAGGGTGTTTCCACTTGGCCGCACACTAACATTAAGTTCAAAAAAATCTCACACCTGGCTCAGCAAATCACCCAGGCGATAAAAAAATTAGTTAAATACATGAATAGAAAGTAAAAGTTCTCTTAAAAAATCGTGTAAAGGGGGCGTACGCGAAAAGCCGAAGGGCTCAGTGGAAACGCCTCGTACACTAAGTCCGCATATCGGGGGCCGGCGGACTGGGCGCCGTACACGCTCGTCCAGCTGGGCGAACGCGCGCGCGGACGCGACCTGTTTCGTGTGATGTGGCAATTCGCAGATTTTGGTCGGCTCGCGCGACATTTCGTCAGAGGGCCTTTGTATGGAATTTTTCCGGTGCGTGGCGAATTTTTTCGGTGCGTGCGTCACTCAAGCTGTGGCGACGCACTTTCTGGAGTGATGCATGTCGATGGAGTTCAGGAAAGCACTTTGGGCGAGCCAGGAGGCGCGCGGGCGGCCACTCTGTATGACAATGCACTTGCCATTCCTTGCGGAAGTAAAGCAGCGGGAGAGTAACACTACTAGGACAAGGGGCTCCGCTCGTCAAAGTAGACTTTGACGTGGTGGCATTAGTAGAACCAAAAATAACTCCAGAAATGCTTTACGAAATCCATCAAGAATACAGTGAACCCAAAGATAAGAACAAGCGGAACCTTGCGGAACTGAACGCAATCGATCGACACCAAGAGATGCATCAAATAGTGGATCAATACCTCCAACCGCAGACCCCACTAGCTAAATCCCTGTGCACCTATCGTAAATGGCAGGAATGTATGGATGCTATTGGCGCTCTTTTAGCTGATATCCCGGCGAATTGGAGACAGGCGGCTAGTCTTTTGTTGCCGCTGAGTGTAGAATCTAGGGAAGCGATGGTGCCCTCCATTGAGTCGGTTACCCAAACCCTAGTGTCGAGGCTTGGTTGGAGATGGGGTGTAGGGCCTCCAATCAGATTCCAACATTTATCCGTTAAAATAGCGACTAATATGCAGCTTTCACCATTTTCGATGGCTCACCGTGTGGCCCATACCCTCTTCATCAAAGAGGCGACGGGCTCTTCTGAGGTATTGGATGAAGCTATTCTTCTTTTGCAACGGACATTCCATCGTTTATGGTTTCATTTACGATGGGAAAATGAACAAAAAGAGGTTTGGTGGCGTCTCGCGGTTGATGGGGTGCCTATGTTAGTAAATTCCCATCTTAGGATGTCGCGGCCAACAGTATGTATGTTGTTACAGGGTGGTTAACTTCGCCAGCGGCCCCCTTTCCCGGGGCAGTCCCTGCTCTCCCCTGCTAGAGGGGCACCCTAATCCGTCACCCCATCCGACTTCAGAATGTATTCGTTGGGTTCGGCAACTCACCACCAGCATCCAACCAAATCTAGCGGATCAACGGCGCATAAACTTAGTTCCTGGTCAGCTTGCAAGTTGATATTATCGCGTCCTACACCGTCCATAAGATGGGGGCCCACCTCCCATTTCATCACTCCTCAAACACCCGAGGAGCCGGCAGGCGGATTTGAACCCGGGTCGACTGGGTCGACTGGGAGCAGAAGTCAGGCCTTAACCTCTGCCAGCCGCCTGCCTTGTGGTTGTGGAGGTTATCCAGTAGGTTCAGTGGGAGGTGTATCCCCTCGCTGTCATCATTTCTGGGCCTGTCCGGTGGCACAGGCAGTAGCAGATCAACTTACTCTTTCAATAGGATTGCCAGTCTCAAGGGAGCAACTTTGGCTTGTCCAAGCCCCACAAACAGTGCAACAATGTGTTTGGGATGTTGTGGCTCTTGCTGCGGTGTCAGCCATGGAGCATGGGAGACGTTATATGGCTGCAAACATGAAAACCAACCCGGCACTGTTACCTGGCCCTTCCCTTACGGAAGAAGCCATTTGTCGAGTTATTGTTGACTTTTGGGGCCGCCTTCAGGGTTTCGCAGCTTTGGGAATTCCACGGAAAGGTTGGAATTCTGTTGGCACACATCACCCCTTCTTGAGAATTATATCTGGCAAATTGCTATGCTCACGGGAGCGGTTACCGATGAACGGTTAATTATCTGAGGTGATGGTCTAATTTGTATATTAGTCTCTACTGCAGTGCACGGCCAGCTGGCCCGATGGCTCTACTCTTCGGGAGTCTGGAGCCCACTGTAACAACCACACACACACAAGAGATGCAATGTGAAAGGAAAAGGACTCCGGTTCTAGTTGGGATGTCAAAATAGTTACACCGAGGGCCGAGCGACTTAAGCCTGCTAGTATACCACAAGATGTGAGAACGATGACATAACAATCTAAACAACAATAACGACTTAAATAGTTATCCAGAGCCTAGATGGCTCCGAAATGTCGTACAACATCTCTAATCCATACGTGCGTCCACGAGTTGAGTTAACTACTCAACAACTAACTAGAAAACCTAACATGCCCCCCTGCTTAACACAGGCATCGTCCTCGATGCGATCGAAAGTACAAAGTATTCTAAGTCGTGCGCCGCTCCGATTCCCTGAACGAAATCGGTACCAGGCTAACGAGGGGAAGGCAAAAGGGAACCGGAGTCAAGGCAAAACCTTCCCCGCACTGGATACCGGCCTAAATAAGGCGCACGACACCTATACCTGCCGGTCGAAAGAACCTGTATATAACCAAACGGACGTGCCCAAAACATCCACAAAGAGTACGCACACCACAAGCCTAATACACAGAAAAAGCAGACTCGGTGGATGACACAATAACCCAAGAAAACTCGACAGTACACGACACGCAACACACAGCAACCCGAAGAAAACAGAAGTCAAAACACAACTCGCGCAAAACACATGCGAAATAACCCAAAACTGCAACACACACGACACACATCCTGCGTGTAGCGCTAGGTTGTCATGAAATGCACTATCCGCGGGGTGTGTTCCGGGAGTTTCGCTCTGAACCAAGCATAGCGGTCTGACAGCTTAAACGAGGTCCAGGCTGGGGTCGCCAGGAAGGCACAAAGTGCTGGTAGGCTGCGGATGTCATCGTACGGTTCCCAGGACGTGTCATGGCCACTGGCGGCAGACCACTGTACTAGGAACATGACGGACGGGCGGCCACGTTTGTTGTAACCTAGGCGGACGGCAGTAACGTTAGTGTCGGTGCTGTCATATGGGGACTCCAGCGTGATGGGGATGGCGGGTGGGGCTGGTGGGCGGTTGGGGAAGAGCGCCAGATCGTTGTCCGTCCAAGGAAGCAGGCATGAGATGTGGAAGATGGGATGGATGCGGCCGAAGGTAGGTGGGAGGTGAAGGCGATAAGCAACCGGGGAAATGACAGCACTAATGGTGAAAGGGCCGATGTTGCAAGGTCGGAGTTTGGCAGAGGGGTAGTCAGGTAACGTGAGGTTAGTGGTGGAGAGGCGGACACGGTCTCCAACTTAAAAAGTAAGGTTTCGGCGGTGTTGGTTGGCGGCGGCAGTGTAACGAACTTTAGCGGCTTCCAGTTCTGTGGCAATGGTAGTATGGATGTCGTGAATGTGGGCATGGAGATCAGCGGTGGCAGTGTGAGCGGGTTTGGAAAGGGGAGTGTTGATAGTGGCGGGGGTGGTGGGGTGGAAACCAGGGTTGGACAGGACCTTCCTGAAATGGTCGGGTTGCCGGTTTTCCCCTTCCCATGCCCGTCGGGCCCACCCGATAGCGTTTTTGCATATCTTTCAATTTCTGTCAGGTGCCCCGATAGCCCATCCCAAAACCTGTCGGGTGACGCAAAAACGAAATTTCGCTGTGTGCCGCTTGAAATTACATTTATTCGTATTTTATATGCGCAGTTTCCAGTTCTCAGTTTGCAGTTCACAGTTCTGATATGCACGAACACCCCCCCCCCCCCACACACACACACACAGCAACACATGCACGCCTGCATGTCTGCCTGTGAGCATCAAGCTTTTTTGGTAAAGCCCACAGACTTACAGGACGAGGCAGCAAACGTTCGAAAGGGTAATGTAAAGCTGCATATGGTCTTTGTATTAATTGTCAATAAGGTCGAGATAAGGTAGTGTGCCCTTCGCTTATGTATCCAAGCATGGATCCCTGTATAGCAGAGTCAAAGGATAAAGAAGACGAGGCAACGAAGTGAACGAATGCTACCACTACATTACATATTTCCATCCAGTTATATTTTTATGAATGCCATTATGTATCGCTGTAGCTGTCCGTCGCTGAAGGGCCCACCGATGACCCACGGCACCCGATCAGGCGGTCCTAGCGCCCCTAACCCTGTCGGGTCCCCCGACGGGAGCCCTTCGGGCCCCGTCGGGGGCTCCCGATGGCCGTTTGGCATTTCCCCCCCTTTTTCGTCGGTTCCGCCCGAAAGCATTTTTCAAAGCCTGTCGGGATTTTCAGCACAAGTGCCATTCCTGTCGGGACCCGATCGGACTGTCGCACCCTGGTGGAAACCATAATTGGCGTAAAAAGGAGTGGTACCAGTGCTGGCGTGGGTTGTGTTGTTGTAGGCAGCTTTGGCGATGGGTAGGTAGGCAGCCCAGTTATCCTGCATGGGCTGAACGTAAGCGTGGAGGATTTGTTCAATGGTGCAATGGGTATGCTCGGTTTGACCATCGGTTTGAGGATGGTAGGCGGAGGAAAGGTTGAGAAAAGTGCCTAAATGTTCCCCAAAGGTGCGCCAGATGTTGGCAGTGAAGCGGGGGTCATGGTCGGAGACGATGGTGGTGGGGAGGCCATGAAGACGTTGGCGAGGGCCAGGAGGGCGATATCACGGGCGGTTGCGGATTTGTTGGTTGGGACGAAGTGGGCTTGTTTGGAGAACATACCGACGAACGTGATAATGGCGGCGTAGGTGCGACCATCAAGGCCTTTGGAGGGCAGTAGGTCAGTGATGAGGTCCATAGACACGTGGGTCCACGGTCGTGAAGGTGTAAGCATGGGATGGAGGAG